TGGGAGTCCAGCACCCTTAACCACCATGCCACCTGCTGGCCCCCATATTTTTTCTTTAAGAGAAATTTTTTCTATAGGGCACATAGAGAGACAGAAAGTGAAAAATCATCCCCCAGGGAAGATGGCCATGCTGCAAACCCTTCTTCTCCATTCTCTTGGTATTTTGGGCACTCATGCATATGCACCTGGCTTGAGTTTTTTAAGTGACCAGGTTTGGGACTCAAACTGTGGTCAACTATGTGGAGTCCAATGATATAACATTAGTCATCTGCTGATTCTAACACTTCCTATTGTAGTACAAAGGTATACGAATGTGAGTTCATTGATGGTGAGTGTAATAGACTCAGAAATCCTGAAAGAAGATCTGATTTACCTTTTACAGTTAGATTATGGTATTTGAGGAACCATAAGCTATTGCCCAGGGTACATCATCCTTCTGTACAAGAGAGGCATCATGCTCCCTCCTCATTACCCTGTAGTTCATTTCCAATGTGCTGGAGCCTGCTAGACCTGCTGCTGGAGCTACCTGTGTGGTCTCTTCCCAGGTCCATGTTCAGTGACCTGCATTTTGGTAGCTCAAATTTGACATGTTGGGAATATTTTCACCATGGAAATTGGCAAATGCTACAAATCAGGTGCCCTTCAAAGGTGGCCGTTAAATGTCTGGATTGGGATATAGATTCCTTTATGCAGCTCTCTCTGATCTTGAACAAGTTACACAACCTCTGTAGTACTCAGTTTCCTCCTTTGTAAATGGGGTTGATGGAGGACCCTCTTCAGGGTTGCGAGGACGAAGCGAAACCGTGTACAATAAGCAACTAATGATTCCTGGTACATAGTTCACACTGAGCACGTTAAACCCACTAGGTCATTTTTGTTTGTTTGTCTGACTGTTTGCCAGTGCTAATCGTTAATTCATTCAATAAATACATATGGAATGGCTGTTTCAAAACATTTTTGGTTCTATCGTGTGATTTTAAATGAACAGATGTATAAAATTCCATCCTGAAATTATGAATTTCAGTGAGTGTTTGATGTCATTTGGGTTGTACATATTTGCCTGTGACATATGTCTTGCTTTGCCACCAATAGACAAAGTCCCTGATCTGGTCTTCTGATCTTCTCTTAGAGCACCTTCATCCTTTCTGTCTTCCTAAATACCCTCTTCATTCTTTCATTTTCTTTCATTCACTGTTCTACCTGAAGCCAAGAGAGGAAGGCTTGATTTCCTTATCAGGGTTAATCCTCTGGCAACATGCTGGCTGAGGTTAGCTATGAGCTAGGGCCAGATGGTGGCATGGAGGTAAAAATGCCAAGCTCTGTGAGGCCGATCCACATGGACTGCCCCAGGTTCATGTCTGAAGACACTTTGAGCATCTTGGGCACGCTCCTGCCCATGATCCAGGACTGGCTGAGGCAATAATGGACCATGGTATCAAGACCTGGCATCTGTCTCTGTCTTTCTTTTTTAAGTGCTACCCCTCCCCCTGCCCTGTGCATTCACTGGAGAGAGACCAAGAGAGACAGTGAGAGGGAAAGTGAGAAATCACCCTGGGGCGGGGGCGGGGGATGGCCATGCCACAATCTCCATTCTACTCTCAGGATCTTGGGCACATGCACATGTACCAGGCATGGGTTTCAAGCCACCAGGTCTGGAACTCAGACTCAAACCACAATCAGCCACGTGGGAGTCCAGTGCCTTCACCACCACACCACCTGCTGGACCCTCTATATCTCTAACTCATGAAAGAAAGAGAGACTTAAACAACAATGAAAGGTTCCGAGCTGTCTTTCCTTTCTCCTGTTACTGCCTTCCATCTCATCCTCATTGTCTGTGCAGCAACGTGCGCAGAAGGGCAACCTGTCTGCTGGGTGGCCTTGTCCACAACAGTCTTATAGGGAGGAAAATGGGCATTGTAGGAAAAGAGGCAATTGTAGATTCTAAACCTTTCAGGTTCTTCTAGGTGCAAGTGACACTGAGATGGAAATGACTGAGAATAAAGGCATTTGTTGTAAGGAGGCTATTTGTTTGTTTGTTTGTTTGTTTTTGGAGAGATTTTTGCTATAGAGCACATGTGCTCACCAGAAAGACAGAAAGAGACAGAGAGAAAGCAAGAAATCACCCCCTAGGGGGATGGCTACGCCACCATCTCTTCTCCTCCACTCGCCTCTTGGGATCTTGGGCACGCATGCACACATGCCCGGTGTGAGTTAAAGCCACCAGGTCTGGGACTCGAACCATGATCAACTACATGGGAGTCCAGCAATATAGCCATTAAGACAACTGTTGGTCCCAAAGAGGCTATTTTTAAAAAATATACTTTATCTTAATTTCTCTTATACATTCAATCAGTATACATCACTTAGCTTGTAAAGTGAATTTCTAACATGAAAGGGGGCTACTATTAATCTCTTCATACTTCTCTTTAAATATTAAGTGTTCACAATACTTAAAAGTTCCTGCTTTCTGCACACACAGGCTTCTTGTAGAATTCTTCAAACACTTTGAAGTGCGTCATTTTCAACATGATTAGTTTTTGAGTACTTAGACTTTAGAGCTGTGTTTAAATATGGAAACACTCAAAATAGGTACATGTTGTTTCATGTTGAGAGTTTTTTTTAAATTTTTAAAAAAATTTTGCTATAGGGCACATGCATTTGCTGGAGAAAGAGAGAGAGAGAGAGAGAGAGAGAGAGAGAGAAAGAGAAAATGAGAAAGTTTCCCCCAGGAGGATGGCCACATTGTAATTCCTTCTCCACTCTCCTCTTTGGATTTTGGGCACCCAGCGTGTGTTTCATGCTGCCAGGTTCAGAACTCAAACCATGCAGTCGGCCCTCTGGGATCCAGCTGCCTAACCTCCAGGCTGTCTGCTGGCCCTATTGGCAGCTCTTTTGCCATCACGTTAAATTGGAAAAGTGGCTATATGAGCAGCTGTAAATATAAAAGTTCAAAACTTGGCATTTATGGATAGAACATATCAAATGCTGTTTTCTAACTCACTTCATTAATTCATGCTCTGTACCTGGAAAATGTTTTATCAAAACTCTTTTTGGGAGGCCAGCCCCTGGCCTAACGGTTGAGACACCAGACTCCACATGGAAAACTGCAGTTTGGATCCCACCATGGCAGCTTGAACGACATGTTGGGTGCAGTTTGGATCCCACCATGGCAGCTTGAATGACATGTTAGGTACATGGGTGTGTGCCCCAAATCCCCAGAGGATGGAGAAATGGAAGAGGAGGGATTGTGGTGTGACCATACCTCACTGGGAAGTGCTTTCTGTCTGTCTCTCTCTCTGGTGAGCACACATACCCTCCGGCAATTAAAAAAAGCTAATCCTTTAAAAAAGAAACCTTTTTTTAGTTAAAATAATTGATCACAATGGGCCCTTGATACCCTATTGTTTCCATAAAGTATTGATAGAGATCAATACTATCAGTCAGATTTTTTCATCATATTTTCAGCAATATAAAATCTTGCACATAAATCCAGTCATTAAAAAATTGGAGATACAATGGGACCAGTAGATAGCATAACGGTTATGTCGCTGGACACTCACATGGCTAACTGCAGTTCAAGTCGCAGACCTGGTAGCTTCAAACTTATGCAGGGCACATGTGCGTGCATGCCCAAGATACTGGGAGGACAATGGAGGAGAAAGGGTTGTGGTGGGGCCATCGGATTGATTTCTCATTTTCTATCTCACTGTTTCTGTCTCTGTCTCTCCCTGGTGAGCGTATACACCCTGAGGCAAAAGCCTCTCAAAAAAAATTAGAGACACGAGACCCCCCCCCCAGGTGGTGTGGTGGTTAAAGTGTTGGATTCCTGCAGGCCAACCATGGTTCAAGTCCTGGACCCGACAGCTTGACAATCAGGCAGGGTACATGTGCATGCATGCCCAAAATCCTGAGAGGAAAATGGAGGAGAAGGGATTGTGGCAAAGCTATCCCCCCCGGAAGTGATTTCTCACTTTCCCTCTCTCATTGTCTCTCTGGTAAGTGTATGTGCCCTATGGCAAAAATCTAAAAAAAAAAAAAAAAAAAAAAAAAACACAAAAAAAACAAAAGATTAGAGATGGCTCTGGCCTGGTGGTTAAGGCAGCTGAATCCCACATAGCCAGCTATGCCACTGAGGTCCTAGACCCAGTGGCTTGAGAAACACACTGGGCACATGTGCGTATGTGCCCAAAATCCTGAAAAGAAGAGAGATGAAGGAGAAAGTGAGAAAGGAGTGTGGTATGACCATTCCTCATGAGGGGTACTTCTCTTCCTCTCTCTCTGTCTCTCTTCCTCTCTCTTGTACGTATATATATATCCTCTAGCCAGAATGAATGGATGAATGAATAAAGGATCTGTTTGTTTGTTTTAATATCTCAATACATAGTTGCATTTTCAAACATGATTTTAGGTCAGCTAGTTATTTTTTAAAATAGACACAATTTTTCATGCAAAATGAACGTACCTTGAGGTTATCAGATTTGATCACCTGAAGCAACACCATCCGTTTTGAATATTTCCTTGCCTTTACTGTGGAAAAAAGATAAATGTAATTTCTCATGGTAGAAAAATAAATTTTAGATTTTTTAGAGCAAAAATGAAAATACTTCGGAACTGAATCTTTGGAACTCAAAGTGACTGAACATCCAGAAGAAACACAATATAAAACCCACCAAGTCCATGCCTGTCCAATGGTCTGAACTAAATTTCCTTTATTTTTTTAGAGATTTTTACCTTAGGGGACATGTGCTCACTGGAGAGAGAGACATAGTAAGAGGCAAAGTAAGAAATCATCCCCCAGGGGGGATGGCCATGACACAATCCCTTCTCCTTCATTCTCCTCTCTGGATCTTGGGCACACATGCACACATGCTCAGTGTGATATTCAAGCCACCAGATCGGGAACTTGAACTGCAGTTGGCCATGTGCAATCCAGCAATATAATTGCTATGTCATCTGCTGGTCTGTAAGTATTTTGTAATTCAATTTCTTCTCTTTCCCAGTGACACAGGAACAACACCTCCCGAGAGTGGAATTTTTGGATTTATGATAAACTTCTCTGCTTTTCTTGGTAAGTATATAATAGTTATTATAAATATCTGAAAATTTACAATTCCAAGTGAAATTACATGTTATTTATAATTTGTATATAATTTTAAAAATTATTCATGATGCAGAGTGTGTGCACATGAGATGAAGAGAGAGAAGCAACCCTGGATAGGGTCTTGTCACATTCAATCCCCCTCCTTCTGGCTTCCAGCTTGTCAGGATCTTGGACACACAAATACATGTCCAACCTGTCAAGTCCACTGGGCCAAGGATCAAGACCATGGTCAGCTACATGGCTTCCAGCACTACAGTCAGGCATATTACCAAATGTGCCACAGAGGCTGAGCCCGTTTATAGTTTTTAAAAGTACAACATTTACAGTTAGCATTTGGCTTTATTTTGGAAAACTAAGGTGCTCAGAAATCCAAAGTTATTTATAGAATTATTCCTCCCATTGTCTGGTAATTTAACACATGTGCTGCAAATAGTTTTAAATATCAAGCTTCTGAAATGGATTTTAAACGTAATCAGGTTTTCAAAAATTGTGATTTAGAGCCAGCAGGTGGCATGGTCGTTGCAGTTCTGGATCCCACGTGGCCAACTGTGCAGTTCGAGTCCTGGACCTGGCGACTTGAAACACTTGTCAGGCATGTGTGTGTACATGCCTAAAATCCTGAGAGGAGAATGGAGGAGAAGAGATTGTGGCATAGCCATCACCCTGGAGAGTGATTTCTCACTTTCCCTCTCTATATATCTCTGGCAAGCACAAGTGTCCTATGGTAAAGATCTAAATAAATAAATAAATAAATAAATAAATAAATAAATAGTGATTTATAGCCAAATCACTTGGGAGAAACAAAGATGCCTAACACATAAGGCAGTGTTTCTCAAAGCATGATCTGAAGGAAACTTACATGAAAATGATCTGCATGTTCTCAGGCCACACTGCATGTTCTCAGAACCACAGGGGTTGGGGCCCCCGGATATATGTGGTTAATAAGCAGTCTAGGTGACTAGATGTCTCTAAAGTTTGAGAACACTGATCTGTTAAGCGAAGGGGAAAGGTGAGGCAAGGACCTGGTTTGTGTCCAACTCAGGCATGATTTTTTTCTTTTCAAATCCTCAAATCCTGAGATGCAGTTGATAGACTACAACCTTGTCATGAGCCAATTAATGTAACGTGTATGAATTATAATTATTTTATGATTAATGAAAGACTCAATCTGCTATGGGGTGATCTGAGTACATAGATGTAAGATGCAAGGCCCTTTCTCTTGGTCCTTTGGTAACATCCCCCACCCTGTGGAACAAGCAAGTGTTTGCCAACGGCCTATTGTGTAAGCAGTGCTTCCTGTCCCTCTCTATTGGCCCAAGACAGAAGGGACAGAGATGCTGGAAACCCTACTTAAGGATTTGGCATCTATGGAATTGGTTCCTGCTTCTTGGTAGAGATAAAGTTTCACCCATTTGTCATCCTCTCTTCCTTAGGTTTTGGAGATGAGCAAGGAGGAATAGAAATAATGGGATCAATCAATTCCTGTGTCTTTTACACCCTCTTTGTCATGAGTCCAAACTTACAACAATAACAAAAAGATTATTCTATCATAAGCAAGAGATAACTCTAGTTTTATTTTTCTAGATTTTTAAAAATTTTATTATTATTATTTTGCCATAGGACATGTGCATTCACCAAAGAGAGACAGAGAGTGAAAGCGAGAAATCACCCCCCAGGGAGTGACAGCCCCACCAAAATCCTTCTCACCCATTCTCCTCTCCGGATTTTGGGCACACACACACATGCACTCAGATGTGCAGTCGGCTGTATGGGATCTGGCCACCTTTATTACCACACCGCTGGCTGGCCTGTGAGTATTCTTTAAATACATATTTGCATAGTTATATGAATTTTTCTATAAAATAAGTTAGCTGAGTTAGAGGGATACATATCAACAATTAGGATAGCTATCCACTGACACAGTATTCATTTCCTAAGTATGTGTTACATAATAAGCTTTGTGCTTATACTTAATGATGGGGCCACAACAGATAAAGATCCTGCTCCCTGGAGATTGCATTTTATTGCTAAATTACTCTCTAAGATACTAAATGGCATTTGGTTAATTGTCTAGCTATTTCTTTTCTTTTTTTTTGGAGAGGTTTTCGCTATAGGGCGTGTGAGCTTGCCAGACAGACAAAGAGAGACATAGAGACAGAAAGCGAGAAATCACCCCCCAGGGGGGATGGTCACGCCACAATCCCTTCTCCTCCATTCTCCTCTCGGGATCTTGGGCACGCATGCACGCACACGCGCTCAGCGTGAGTTTTAAGCCACCGGGTCCGGGACACGAACCGTGGTCGACTACGTGGGAGTCCAGCGACATAGCCATTACGCTAACTGCTGGTTCCCAATTGTCTAGCTATTTCGAAATCATACCTTCAGTACTCTCTCCACACCGTACACAAAAACAAATTGCAATAAAAAGCCCAACTATGAGAAAAATGAAGTACTGGAGAACGTTTTTAAAACCTTGGGATAGAAAAGCCTGTCTAAGCTTACACAAAACCTGGAAGCTAACTGGGATAGAATCGACAGATTTGAGAAGATAAAAAAATGAAAACTTTTAAGCACTGAAAGCTAAATGATAAACAACTGTCAAGAACTAAATTTGTAGTATTTATGGCAGATGATAAACTAATATGTAAAAAATCAACTATAAATTAGAAATAGACAAACCCAAGGGAAAAATATAAATACTTATACTCAGAAGAAAGAAGTGATCAGTATATTAAAAGCTGCCAAATCTCACTGATGATCTGGGAAGTACAAATCAAACCAAAAATTTGGTATTTTTATTTATTTATTTATTTAGAGAGGTTTTTGCTATAAGGTGCGTGCACTTGCCAGAAAGACAGAGACAGAGAGACAGCAAGCGAGAAATCACCTCCCAGGGGGCCGACCACTCCACAATCCCTCCTCCATTCTCCTCTTGGGATCTTGGGCACACATGTACATGTGCCTGGCGTGAGTTTAAGCCACCAAGTCTGGGACTTGAACCACAGTCGACTACATGGGAGTCCAGCAGCATAGCCATTATGCCAACTGCTGGTCCTCATCAATACTACTACTTCTAGGAATTGGTCTTTCACCTGTAAATGTGCCCAAAGGTTTCTATCTATATAAGGATGTTTATTGAGCATTATTTGTAATAGGAAAAACATAGAAGCAATGTAGAAATTCATCCTTATTGGAATTATGAGATAAATATATGCACCCCATAGGTCACCATGAGAACCCAAAAGCAGTGAGGTAGCTCTATTTGTATGGGCATGGGAAGAGCTCTGAGGGACCTTAAGTGAAAGATGGAAGTCACAGAGCAATACCCATACAGTGGCAGCACTTATGTGAATAGGATCTCAGTCAAGATGGTGTGTGTGTATGCGTCTGTGTGTCCATCACACTAGGGAGACAGGAAAATGGGGTGGGGAAGGATATGGGTGTGCAAGCGAGGAGACTATTATGATCAAAACATTTTTTAAAAAGTGATACAAAAACTGCTCCTGTGTTTTTCATTCTAAAACAACAAATGAAAGTTGATCCAAGTGCCTTTGTGTTCCAGGTGCAGCTACGATGTACACAAGATATAAAATAGTAGAGAAGCAAAACCAGACCTGCTATTTCAGCACTCCTGTTTTTAACTTGGTGTCGCTAGTTCTTGGATTGGTGGGATGTATCGGTATGGGCATCGTGGCCAATTTTCAGGTAGGACCTGAGTCTTTTTCGGTTAACGGGGTGATGGAGTACACGTTTCTGAGAGGAGAAGCAGGAACACAAGAGCATGCTTGTGTCAGTATGGCTATTAAGTGATTGATGAGTTCACAAAAATTGAGTTAGTTGTTTTCTTTTTTCTTTTTTTAGGTCATAAGGCACATGCACTCGCCAGAGAGAGACAGAGGGAGGGAATTTGAGAAATCATCCCTCAGGGAGGATGGCCATGCCACAATCCCTTCTCCTCCATCTCTGAGATTTTGGGCACACACGCACATGTGCCCAGCCTGAGTTTCAAGCCATCAAGTCCAGGACTCAAAATGCAATCAGCTATGTGGAAGTCCAGTGCCTTAACCACCAAGCCACCTGCTGACTCCAGTTTAATTTGCTTCTTAGAAAGAAATCATTGTGTTCTTCAAGTTTATTTATTTCTTCCATGAATGAGAGACAGACAAAGACACAGGCACCCCCAACAGGGTCTTCCATACTGCAATGCACCCCAGCTTCAGCCAGTCAGGATCACACGTGTGCTATGAGGCTGGCTTCAGATGTCATTTTTCAAGCCTTAAGTGGCAGGCTTTCATTTTAGTAAGAAAACTTAGATACTTAGATAACTGAACTTTTGGTTTTCCTAAAGGCTTCCATGAAGTGATTAAATCTTTACAAAAATAGAAATAGAATCTTTAACTTCCCTGAGAACAAAGTGTTTACTTTGTCCTTGTTCCTGTAAATATGTCTTTACAACCTCCTTGTCTGATATCCTGTAATTCATTTTCAGCCTGCTATGAGCAAATAAATGAACTTGAGCTGTTACCTTGAGAGGAACTTGAGACGTGAGAGCAACAGAAAGCATGACTGTCTCTGGTGGTTTTTCTTGGGTTAGCAACTAGACTCATGAGAAGTTGACAAATAACTCTCTTTTCTGAACAGGTTGGTGGAATGGCGACTCTTTGGTATATCTTCACTAATTTCTATCAATGCTTTATTTTCTCTCAGGAAGTGTCCTTTTTAAAATTCTGTCATTTGAGACAATATGGATGAAGCTGGAGGACATGATGTTAAGTGAAATAAGCCAGGCACAGAGAGACAAATACTGTACAATTCAATTATTTGTGGGATTTTTAAAAATTAAACTCATAAGAGAGAATAGAATGGTGGTTACCAGGGCTTGGAGAGGATAAGGAAGAACATGTTGGGCCCAGGATGCAAAGTTTCAGTTAGATGGGATGAATAAATTCTGGCAATCTATCATACAGCACTGTGACAATAGTTGATCATGTATATTTCAAAATTGCTAAAAAAAAAAAAGTAGATTCTAAACGTTCTCACTACAAAAATAATAATATACATATGAGGTGATAGGCATGTTAATTATATTGATTTAATAATTCCAAAATAAAAACATATATGTATAAAAGACCCCATATAGGGACCAGCAGTTAGCGTAATGGCTATGTTGCTGGACTCCCATGTAGTCGACCGTGGTTCGAGTCCTGGACCCAGTGACTTAAACTCATGCCGGGTGCATGTGCGTGCATGCCCAAGATCCCCAGAGGAAAATAGAGGAAAAGGGATTGTGGCATGGCCATCCCCTCTGGGGTGTGATTTCTCACTTTCTATCTCTCTGTCTTTCTGGCGAGCGCATGTGCACTATGGCAAAATTGCCCTCGCCCGCAAAAAAAAAAAAAAGACTCCATACATATATAATTATTATTTACCAATTAAAAATAAAATTATAAAAAGAAGTTTTCTTTTTAGGAAAGAAAATTTCCAAGATTTAAACCTCCCAATACTCTAGTATACTCTATTTTTTACCATCTTTAATTTAATAAGAGAGTTGCTACAAAAGGGGTCTGAGGAGAGTACCAACTTTTCATCTTATCCTCTATCAATTTTTTATGATCTAAGAATCATTTCCCTTCTAAAAATCATCCTTGATAGAGAACATACATATACTCCATGATGAAAGAGACACATAAACACAACTCCTACTGAATCAAGGGCCTTGTAGTCTGATAACGTCAGGGTTAAAATGGGGACCCGTGAAATTTGCAGTTAATTATTATGATTTGCCATAGGGCACATACATTCACTGAAGAGACATAGAGACAGTGAGAGGGAAAGTGAGGAATCACTTCCCCCATCCCAGGGAGGATGGCCATACCACAATTCCTTCTCCTCTTGGGATTTTATACACATATGCAGATGCACCTGGCATGGTTTTGAAGCCACCAAGTCTGGGACCTGACCTGTGGTAGGCCATGTGGGAGTCCAGCACCTTAACCACCTTGCCACCTGCTGGTCCCATTTGCAGATTAATTCTTCAAGAATATGCTGAATTAGCCAAGATTGAGAAAGACAATTGACCATTAGTATTAGCAGGAGGACACCAGGTATGTAAATTCAGGATGTGGTTTTTACTTACCAAGAAAAGAAAGAGTAAAGGGCTGGCCCTGCAGTGCAGCAGTTAAGCGCAGTCATAGGGAGTCACATGGCTGACCAGAGTTTGAATCTACCCCTCGTGGCTTGATAAACACACAGGGCACATGTGCACAAGTGCCCAAAATCCTGATGAGAAGGAGACATGAAAGAAAAAGATGGCAGTTTGACTTCACACCTTTGGAGAAAGATACTTGCTATCTCTCTCTCTCTGTCTCTCTGTCTCTCTGGGTATGCATGTAGGTTCTGGCAATAACAAGAGAGAGAGAGAGAGAAAAGTATCAGAATTTAGGCCAGCCAGTGGTGAGGTGGTTATGGTGGCTGGATCCTACAGGACCAACCGTGAAGTTTGAGTCTCAGACTCATCAGCTTGAAAAACACACTGGACACGTGTGCATGCATGCCGAAAATCCTGAGAGGAAGGAAAAATGAAGACGCGATTGCAACATGACAATCCCCCATGGGGTGTGATTTCTCACCACCACCCATCCTCCCCACTTTACATCTCTCTCTGGCAAGCTCATGCTCCCTCTAGCAAAACAAAACGAAACGAAACTACCAGAATTTTCAGATTTTTCCTGAAAATGATTCATTAGTAGAGGTTGCCTTGCCTTTTATTTTTTCTTCCCTAAATGTGACTAACACTCAGGGAATGACAAGAATTTATTGTTCTGAAGTATTTGAAAAAAATAAAAAAATTAACAAGTTTTTTTTAATGATAGCTCATACATAGATCAGAAAGAGAGAGAGAGAGAAGTACCATCTACAGGGTCTTAGCCCTCTGGTCCCCTTTCTCCAGCTCTCTAGCACTTCAAAATCTGCATGTCCTGGTGTGTTTTCAAGCCAACCTGGGGATCTAAACCTTGGTCAGCTATATGGCTTGTGGTGCACTTGCATTATTGCTGTGCTACAGTGGTTAGATATTAAAAATTATTTTTAATTGTGGTAAAATACACATAACATGAAATTTACTACCTTCACATTTTTAAGTGTACAGTTAGTGACTATTTTCCTGGATTATTTTTTAAGAGATTTTTGCTACAGGGCACATGTGTTTGTCAGAGAGACAGACACAAAGTGAGAAATCACACCCCAGAGGTGATGGCCATGCTGTAATCCTTTCTCTTCTGTTCTCCTCAGGATTTCGGGCATCCACGCACTTGCACCCAGCCTGAGTTTTAAGCTTCCAGGTCTGGGACTTGAACTGCAGTCCACTTCATGGGAGTCTAGCAATATAACCATTACTCCAGCAGCTGGTTCATACTTTAATACTAAAGACATAAGAGGTATTTTATTTTATTATTACTTTTTAGAGAGTATTTTTGCTATCGGTTATGTGCACTTGCTGGAGAGTCAGAGGAAGACAGGGAGACAGAAAATGAGAAATTACACCCCTGGGGGATGGCCATGCTGCAATCCCTTCTCTTCCATTCTCCTTTCAGGATTTTGGGCATGCATGAGTTTTAAGCCACCGGGTCTGGGATGAACTGTATTGACTAGGTGGTAGTCCAGCAACATAACCATTATGCCATCTGCTGGTCCTGAATATATTTTATTTTTGATATGTAACTTTCCTGAATCAAGATGCCCAGGCTAGGTAGCTTTAGAGATATAGAATCTATACCTAATAAATAATTGAGATGATATGTTACAGAATGTTAATGTAATCATACTTGAACATAACAATTGAATGTAACAACAGTCCAGGGATATATTACTGTCCCCCCACCCCCCATTTCTAGATTTGGTACCAGAGAAAAAATTTCCTTAGGAAAGAAATGAAACACTTTTCTCTGCCAACCCCTCTTTCCCATGTGAGAATGAAGAGTTAGTGTCAGTTTATATCGTATCCTAGCTTGAGGTTGAGTAGTTTAGCTGGAAAACACAGTGATGCTGGGGAAGCCCAGGCAGCCCAGGCCAAAGAAAAGTGGGAGGGAGAGAGTATGCACAGAGGGCTGGGCCAGCGGGGCCTCTGGCCAGAACCAGACTCGCAGGGATGACATTTTAACTTGGCCCTCTGCAAAGGTTGTAGTTTCATTTCTCCTTTTTTTGGTCAGAGGGCATACATACTCAGTGGAGACAGAGATGCAGGGTGGAGGAAAGAGAAAGCACTCTTTATACGGGGCGCGGTCACACTGCAGTCCTGTCTCCTCCAATTCTCCACCCTGTTGGGATTTGGGGACACACATACTTAGCATGCTTTTCAAGCTGCTGGGGTTGGGATTTGAACCATGGTTAGGCAGGTGGCATCCAATTCCCATGATTGCTATGTTGCAGGGCTGCTCACAAAGCTTATATTTTCAAATTCAAGCCAAAACGCCATAGTAGTTGTATTTGAATGTTGTTGTTTATCTAGAAGGTAGGTGCCTGGTGCATATTTGAAAGGGCCTAGGGTAAAGTCCTTGGTTGGTCACTTAGGAGCAAGTGCAGGGTGGACACCAGGCTTCCTCCCTAGACTGGGTGTAGAGGATGCCTTCTGGTTGCAATGGCTGCTTAGAAGATGGTGAGGGACAGGGCACTTGCCGTGATGCTGTCCTTGCACCACAGAAGCGGTGGTTTTACTTAGTGTGTTCATGTGGGGTGACTTGGGAGGGACTGATGGACATTTTGGGAGGCAGGAGGCCTAAAACTCCCAAGCCACTCACCACCATCATGGAACAAGTCGGTATTTTAATGCAAAAATTGTATACAAATGTATCATATAACCTTCACTGTAAAGTACAAGACAGGAACGATGGTGCCCATCTTAGACATACAGAAATTGAGCCGCTACACTAAGGTCACAGATGAGTGGTGGAGTTGTGTTTGTTTGTTTTGATGCCAGACACCAAAGCTCGCCATACTCAACTCTTCTAAATCTAAGGTAGATGTCGTTCTTTCCTCGTCCCATGAGCTGTGGATCAGCCAAATTGTTGGCATTTATTTCATCATCTGGAGACCTCTTTTCTGGCTGGCCTTCCGTAAGGTGTCACCTTACCCAAGGAGTGATCTGTGACCACCGATGGAGCAGCCCTTGGAGCAGCACATGCTCCGGGCCGATGTTGACTACCTCACATGTAGTAACAGCACGTTTGTGATCTTTCCTTCAGGAGTTGGCTGTGCCAGTGGTCCATGATGGGGGTGCCCTGTTGGCTTTCGTCTGCGGCGTTGTGTACACGCTCCTGCAATCCATCATCTCTTATAAGTCATGCCCCCAGTGGAACAGTGTCTTGACATGCCACATTCGGATGGCCATCTCTGCTGTTTCCTGTGCAGCTGTCATCCCCAGTATCCTTTTCGCACTTGTCATTTGTTACAGAAAAGAACTATTGAATGCCACTTTTTAAAGCTGCGGTAAGGAGTTTATCTGGGGCCATTTCGGTGTGGGGACACAGCAAGGAGATCTTGAAGTGACAGGAGAGGCTAGTCTCAGCTCCGAAAACAGCATGGCTGGCAAGTGGGGATTCACAGTCCATGAGCAGGGTGCAGTCAGAGGGTGGAAAAGTACTAAGAGGAAACATCTGGTGAAGGGGATTCTGGCTAAACCAACCTGACAGGATTCTTGCTCAAGTCAGACCAGGTGATCAGACATCACCTGGGCTGGGGGTGGTGGTGGCGGGGGCTGGACTGTGAAGAACCTCATCAGATACTGAGGGCGATCAAATAACAAGGGTGGGGAGTTCTTGCCAAAACTGGATTTGACAGGAAAGTGCACAGATGGGCCTGGGACAGAAGGTTCAGGAACCTGACTCAAGTTTGGTCAGCAAAGCATCTTTGTCTCATAGCAAGCTTGAGGACCACCTCCCTCTACCACTACCCCTCAAAAATAAGGCATTCTGCCTTTTTCAGAAGAGCAATTGGGAACAAAGTCTTAAATCATTAAGAAATCATCTCAACATTGTCTGGTTAGGTCAAAATAATTTGGAGAGAAGAGAACAGAATGAAAAGAGGGTGAAAAAATGTAGGGACACTTCAGTCTCTGTTTACTCTCCTTCCTACAGGCCTGGTTTTATGAGCTACCTGAAATATTTATTTTTCTTTTTAGTGCTTGGCTAAAGACACCAAATATTGATATTGTACTTAAAGTAAAAGCTCTGTGAAGTCCTGAGAGGCCAGACTCTCCACTCTCCCTTGTGCAAATGTGAAAAAATAGTTTGTCCACGTTAAGTCTAAAAAGCTCTATCACATATTCTAAGTCATTTGAAATACATTTAGCTTTTTCTTTATATAGTCACTGATTTCATTTACAACAATAAATTAATTTCATTTTCTAATTCAGCAGTGAAAAGAAAATATAACTTAACATGCTTGTATATTCTGATTTAGAGGAAATACTTTTCTTTTTCTTTCTTCATAAAAGTATTTAACCTGGGACCAGCGGGTGGCTTAGTGGTGAAGGTGCTGGACTCCCACTTGGCCAACTGTGGTTCGAGTCCCAGACCCGGAGGCTTGAAAATCATGCCAGGCACATGTGTGTGCATGCCCAAAATCCCAGGAGAAGAATGGAGAAAGGATTGCGGCATGGGCATCCTTCCTGGTAGGGGGAGGGATTTCTCACTTTCCCTCTCAGTCTCTGTCTCTCTCCTCTCAGCTGAGAGCATGCTCTCTATGGCAAAAACTTTAAAAAAAAAATTATTTAGCCAGGGCCAGCAGGTTCCGGTAAGGTGGGTAAGGTGCTAGACTCTCACATGGCTGACTGTGGTTCAAGTCTTGGACCCTGCAGCTTGAAAAGCATGCCAAGTTCATGTGCATGCATGCCCAAAATCCCAAAAAGAGAATGGAGAAAAAGGGACTGTGACATGACCATCGCCGCTGGGGAGTGATTTCTCCCTTTCCCTCTCTCCTCTTTCTGTCTCTCTCTAGTGAGTACACATGACTAAAAACCTAAAAAAAAAAAAAAATGTATTTTAACCTGGCATAGTAAAGGTGACAATTCAATATACATCTCAAAATAACCAGTAGAGCAGATTATGAAGGTATGCAATATAGAGTAGTGATGAATGTTGGAGATGGGAGCCAGCTGGTGGAGTGGTGTTTGAGGTGGCTGGATTTCATGTGGCCAACTGTGCAGTTCAAGTCCCAACCCAGGCGGGTAGAGAAACATGCCAAGTATGTGTGTGTGCATGCCTGAAATCTTGAAAAAAGGGTGGAATGGAGGCAAAGGGATTGTGGCATGACTATTTCCCAGAAAGGATGCTTTCTCACTCTCTGTCTCTGTCTCTCTCTCTCTCTTTCTCTGGTGAGAGCCTGCATCTTTGGGCAAAATTAAAAAAAAATGTTAGGGATGGTGGAGATGTTTTCTCTCTGATTTGATCATTATACATTGTATACATGCTTTGAAAAAAAAAACCACATTGTATCCTACAAAGTTATACAACTATTATATATAAATTAGAAATTACAGTAAAATTATTATTAAGAAAACTAAATGGGAAATTATCTGTAACAGTTCCATAAAACTAGTAGAGGAAAACAAGGTGTTTAAAAAAGAAATTAAAAAGCTGTGGTCTTTAAGAGGTAGGGAATTCTCTATCTTTCATAATATTCCCTGTAGACATACCAGAGAAAGCTGCTATCATTAAAAAAGATGAGTAATAGAGTGTAGGAAAACAGAAGCTATTTCATCAGTGAGGATTATGTCAGTCTGGGTGATGGTACAAAGTGGTCAAGCTTGAGTGAAAACACATCATGTGCTTCTAAACATTAAGGTTTGCATTTCTCTCCTAAAACAGAAGCTACACCATGGCATGGTGGTGTGCACCTATTGTCCCAGCTACTCATTAGACTGAGTTAAGAGGGTTGTAAATTTGAAGTCCCCCTGGGCAACACAGTGAGACCCTGTCTAAAACAAACAAATCAAGTAGAAGTTATCCAAAATGTAAAGTCTAAATATGGTTGTGGGTTGTCTTTTTTTTTTTTTTCTTTTCCCATCCTAGAGAATGAAAAGTTCAGTTACAAAATTTTCAAGCATGGAGAAAACAAGTCCTAGTACTAGGAAATTTACCAACAAAATGTATACCCTTGTTCTTAAGGTAGTTTCTCCTCAGTTTTCTTGTCTTCCTTATGAATTAAAGACACCATGCTTTCTCTTCAAATATATCATCTTAAAACTTTTAACTTGTAGGGCCAGCAGGTGGCAAGGTAGTTAAAGCAGTGGACTCCCACATGGCTGACCATGGTTTGAGTCCCAGAACTAGTGGCTTGTTTTCTCACTTTCCCTTTCTCTCACTAAACTAAAAATAATAATAATAAATAAAATTAAATAAATAATTATTAAAATAAAACCCTTTTAACTCGCAGTAGTTGTAAAATTTATAGTAGAACTGTTTGTAGTATTAAAAGCAATGTTTCTTGGTATAGGAATCTTACCTTGCATCCAACTTTGGAGACAGGTCCCTAGATATTAAAATCAGAGAGTTTTAGCAGGATAAATATTTCAAGACCCAGAGTCTCACATTCTGATAGGAGGTTCTTTAAGAACCATACCAAGAGGTGGCAGTCCCAAACAGAAATGGTTTACACTCCTCTATCACATTAACTAAGTTGAATTCATTCATGAAAAGTCTTGTCTTGGGCCAGGGCACAGTGGTTAGAGGAGCCAAATTCCACATGGTTGACCAAGTGGTCTGAGTTTTGAACTGGCAACTTTAAAAGTAAGCCAGGCATATGTGTACGCTCATGTGCATGCCCACAATCCTGAAAAGGGGGGAGAATGGAGGAAAAGGGATGACTGCTCCCCAAGGAGGGTTGTTTCTCTCTCTCTCTTTCTCTGTCTCTCTGGTGAGCATACATGCCCTCTGGTAAAATTTTTTTGAAAAGTCTTTTGTCTTAAACTTTAGCAGAAAAATCATGACGTATTGGGTTGTCTGGAAAGTCGTAACACATTTTTGTAAAGAAAAACATGTCATGACTTTTCCGACAACCTAATATTTTGCTATGGAAAAATGCATCATGACTTTTGACCATTTCCTTCAGTAGTAACTATCCAGTGTTCTCTGCAACTAAAAAATTAGTTTCTTGGGCAATCTTCCTTGTTCTAAGGTCTCTGTTTTTTTTCTATTTGGTTGTTACACCTGGATTTGACTGCTCCTTTAAGGTTTCTACTGGGCAGTTGGATCTTTCCAGATGTTGGCCCTGGCCAGTTACTGAAATACTTAGTTTTTAATGCCTGTGTGGCCATAATTCGAGTGCATAGATTAAATAAGCATAAACCTTGTATGAGATCTAGCAAGTCATCTCCAGCTGCAATGAAGTTGTGTTGCAATGGGATTCCAGGAAAACTCTTAAATGTCACATAATCTGGAAGATTACTACACATGGCAGGCCACTATTCCTCAGTTGGTGTGCCCAAAGTTTCAAAAATTTTTGTTAATTGATTGATGTCTGAATCTTCTGGCAAAAAAGGAACCTCCAGAAACAAATCTGCTAGTATATAGCCAACCGCCCACATGTCTACATCCACACCATACTCCTAGCTCCAGACAGTAACTCAGGGGCCTGATACCACCTGGTTACAACCTGATGCATATAAGCTCTATCAGGGCTTCTGAGTGATTTGACCAGGCCAAAATCTACCAGTTTTAGAACTCCATTTTCATCAAGCAACCAGTTGTTTGGTTTCAAATCCCTATGTAGAATCTACTGTTGATGTAACCCTTGAAGAGTCATCGGCATGCAGGCTTTGATGTGTGATGGTGTCAGCATAAGGCTATTATCCCTTATTATGCCTCTAGTTCGTGTCCATAAAATCAAAGACAAGGCTAATATTAGATTTATGTCCAAAAGCATCAAGGAGAACAATTATATTTGGATGACTTAGCTCCTGTAGTAATCTCATCTTTCTTAAGACTGTTCTATTTATATCATCTTTTGCTTCAGATATATGCCTAAGTTTTATTTTCTTTGTATTTATTTATTTTTATAGAGAGTTTTTTTTGTTTGTTTTTGTTTTTGTTTTTGCTATAGACACACATGCTCTCCAGAGAGACAGAGACAGAGGGACAGAAAGTGAAAAATCACCCCCCAGGGGAGATGGCCATGCCACAGTCCCTTCTCCTCCAATTCTCTTCTTGGGATTTTGGCACTTATGTCTGTGTGATTTTGTGCACACACACACACACACACACACACACACACACACACCCCTGGTCTGAGTTTCAAGCCACGGGTCTGACACTCAAATAGCAATTGACTATGTGGGAGTCCAGAGATGTAACCATTATGCCATCTGTTGGTCCCAAGTTTTATTTTCTTAATAGTAACAATTTGGTTGATGTTCTTGTCTCTGGCCTTATAAACCATGGCAAACTTTCCCCCTCCAAGGAAGTCCAGTGTTTTATAATGCTTTGCTTGAGACTTCACGTCTAAAGCCATCAGCTTGCAAAACTCGACTCCATCCAAGAGGAGAGCTCCCCTCTCTTTTGCCTTCTAAGTTCAATCAAAATGATTGTTACCACTTTAGTGCAGGCAGCAGTGTCCTAGAAGGCAGGCAGATGCCTCAGCCTCTAGTACTATTAGACTGGCCTAAGGGAGTTGGTCATTACTCTCTAAAGTCTTCTGTAGGTAAATATTTTTGATTTGTAAACATTTTGAGTATAGGGGAAGGGCACTATTTTTTCTTAATTGCCTAATAAAAGTCTAGGTTTAAAAAATTTTTTCAATCACTGTATATCATTACAGCATGCAAAATGAATTTTCCTAGCAGAAATACACTGTATATTTATCTACTCAAAGATATTATTATAAACATTATCATCAACAGATAATTTTCAATTTTTGTGTCTCTTAAATGTTTTTCTTCTTTCTTTTCCCCCTTGATTCTCTTCCTTTTACTCTTTTTTTATGGGGAGAGATTTTCACTGTAGGGCGTGTGTGCTCGCCAGACAGAGAGAGAGAGACATAGAGACAGAAAGCGAGAAATCACCCCCCAGGGGGGATGGTCACGCCGCAATCCCTTCTCCTCCATTCTCCTCTCGGGATCTTGGGCACGCACGCACATGCACCCGGTGTGAGTTTTAAGCCACCGGGTCCGGGACCCGAACCGCGGTCAACTACGTGGGAGTCCAGCGACATAGCCATTACGCTAACTGCTGGTTCCCTCTTCCTTTTACTCTTGATTCCCTTCCTTTCCTCCATTTCTAACCCTCTTCCCACACTGTCTCTAGTATCCACAGTTGCTCTCCATGCTTTTATGTCTCCAATCTTTTAGTTTCTGCCATGAAGTGCAGACATTGCGTATATATTGAATGGGGACATACAATGCCTCTCTTTCATAGCCTGACTTGCTTCACTTAGCATTAAATTCTCCATGTGGGATCTAGCTACCTTAACCTCCACACCACCTTTCTTCTATTTTACTGCCCTGTCAAGATTTGGGGCATGCCCACATATGCACCTGGTATGTTTTTCAAGCCACTGAAGCCAGGTTTTGAACGACCATTGGTCATGTGGGATCTGGCTCCCTCTACATAGCACTTAACCACCGTGGTATGGAAACAGCCAAGAAAGAAGTAGTTGTTTATTTAGTAGCAAGCACTCAAAAGAAACCCCATTTGGACTTGCGTCAGCCATTTTGACCAAGTTCAAACAGCTAGCTAAAATGGGAACACCCAGAAACATTCGGGGTAGAGCAGAATGTAGCTGCAGGTTAAAATTTTCCAGAGGGCATATGAACTCACGAGAGAGAAAGAGAGAGGGAAAAGAACACCCCGTAGTGGTGGTGACTGGTCATGCCACAATCCTTTTTATTCCATTTGTTCATCTCTTCAGGATCCTAGGCATGCACACACATGTGCCTGATGTGATTTTCAAGCAGAAAATGTATTATTAAGGATAGACTGTATTTCCATGTTATAACTTAGCTGCTGTCATAATTGAACTTAAGGTTGAGATTATAAGAAGCTAATTTAACTGATGAGTATACAAATGTTGGTATTCACATCACAACTCTGTGTACCAATGCTATTATTAGTGAAATAATCTAGTCCTAAAGTTCAAGGACCTGTTTTCTTCTGTTGTTTCCTTGACAGTTTCCTTTTTTTAGTGATTGCCTGTGCTTCACTAATTTCTATTACCAAGTTGGAGTGGAATCCAAAAGAAAAGGTAACGTTTAAGTTCGCAATATGACTGTTGAACCTGGTTATATAAGACTGTGGCTGGGTGAAGTCTAGGAAGGACCACTGTCATTTCTTAGCAGTTGCAAAATGTACAATAAATATGTTATGTACTCAACTTACTGTCAATTAATGGCAGTAATTAAGTGTCCAAAGTCAAAATTAAGAGATCAGCCTGTAGCAGTGTTTGAACACTGTGCTTTGGGAGCCAGATTCTACATGGCTGACTGTAGTTTGAATCCTGGCCTCCGTGGCTTGAAAAACATGCCCTGTATGTGTGGCTGAGTGCCCCAAGTTTTGTCAGGATGGAGAAGTGGAGGAGAAAGGATAACAACATGACCATACCCCATTGGGGGGGTGCTTTCTCTCTCTCTGTCTTTTTGGTAACATACTCATCCTTTGGCAATAGGAAAAAAAAGACAAAATTAAAATAAACGTAGTGATTGACTTTTTGATTCATGAATTGAGGCAACCTTCATTCTATAAAATAGAACTAAAGTTCCCAAAGAACAAGGAAACAGAACAGTAGGGAAAAGGCTGATTGGTTAATATCAGGTTACTTGAGGTTACTTTTATGTAAGGGTTAAGAAAGCAAGCCAGAACTTCTCCCAACAGGAAATTCTAACACTGACTCAGGTAGACTGGAATCTCCTGATTTCAAGAAGATGGCTCTGTTTCTTCCTTATAGTTTCAGTTTGATGACATTTTGGTTTGGTCTAGTCTATTGGAATCTAGTGCAGGAGTTTGGTGCAAAGTCATGGCCTCCCATAATTTTTCCTTAACATTTAACTATCAGGATAATCCCAAATGGTTCCTGGGATTATTTTCAAAATTTTGAAACTCTAATTTCTTTTCTTTTTGTTTTGTTTTCTTCTTCTTCTTTTTTTTTTTTTTTTTAAAGGGGATTTTGCCTTAGGGCATGTGCGCTCATGGGGCGGGGGGAGAGGGAGGGAGACAGTGGAAGGGAAAGTGAGAAATTACACCCCCCCCCCACACACACACATGGGGAATGGCCATGCTGGAATTCCTTCTCCTCCATTCTCCTCTTAGGATTTTGGGCACGCATTCACATGTGCCTGATGTGATTTTCAAGCCACTGGGTCTGGGGACTTGAACTGCTGTCAGCCATGTGGGAGTTCGATGATGTAACCACTACACCATCTGCTGACCACCCTCCCCCCCCCATTATCCGCCAATTTCTTTCTTAAACGCCTTAACCATTCATGCTTAGTGCAAAATGTTGGACATTTAAGGGTGGGGGATAGTGTGAATGAAGGTATGTGGTGCCCAGAGGACATGTGGAATATTGAGCAGAGTAGACAAGACCAGCTCTCGAAGTGAGCTTTTGAATGGAAGGATAGTTCATTTTAGGGTAGAGTGAGAAATACATGTAGTCGCAGGTCAATGCTTTCAGAGGCTGGCCTAGAAGCTTGGCCTTGATTTAGGTGAGCAGAGTAGGCCTTTGAAGACTTTTGCATGGAAAGTAAATTGAAGAGTATTATTGGATGAGTGTTAAGCGCAAGCAACACCTGGGATGGGTTGAAGAGCAAGCTTGGCATTAGGAAGGCAAGAAGAAGGCAGTCCTACTAGCTGCAATTGCAGATCATAACAAGAGTAAGTAGAAACTAATGGGAAGGGCCAGCAGGTGGCATGGAGGTTAAGGCGGCTGGATCCCACATGGCTGACAGCATAATTCATAGTCCCAGACCCAGCAGCTTGAAATACATGCTGGGCATGTGTACCTACATACTCAAAATTCCAAGAGGAGAATGGAGAAGGAACTGCTGCATGGCCATCCTCCTGGAGAGTGATTTCTCACTTTTCCTCTCTCTCCATTTCTCTCTCTTGAGTGAGCTCACACCCCCTAATTTAAAAAACTAAAAGAGAAAGAAACCGATGGGAAAAACTATTTGATAGGATCTCATAAGTGACTAATGAAGGTGCACAATGAGTCAGAGATGACATCCAACTTAAAAAAAAAAGTATTTACTTATTTCTTCCAATAGACACAGAAGAAGACAGCTCTCCACATCATGATCCACCCCCAGTTTTAGTCCATCCTGGATTATGAGCACCTGCACATGCCCAGCCTGCTCAGGGAGGTTTCCAGTCTTCAACAGGGAACCTTTCCACATGTGTCAGCCTCACAGAGCATTGCAGTACCACAATATCACTATCCAGTCTCAACTCCCAACTGTTTATCTTGGGTGAATCAAAGAATTTGTTCCCATGAACAGAGATCAGATCTCTGATGATGATAAGTGATTTCATAGGCAGAAGTGGGCAAGTTTGGTTTCAGCAACTCTGAGGCCATCATGAGACATTAAGATGAAATGTCCATTTAGAAATGTGGGACTAGATTTCTGGTGGGATTGAGAGCCATCAGAGCATAGGGTAGAATGGTTTCCAGACAAACATCAGAACACATGGAACTAACTGTTTGGAATTGAGATTGATCCATGCAAATAGATACTTGGAAAACCGATTCTTTTAGATGCCATAAAAGAGAATGAGTGATGCTGCAGGAAGAGAGAACGGCAGATTGTTTTTTCAAGGTCAGGTGTAGGGATGTCTCTAGCAAAGGAGGAGTAAAAGAGAGGAGTCAGTACAGTCAAACTTGTTGACTGAGTCCTTAACTAAATCAAGACTCTGGCAATGGTGGGGGGACTGGTGGCTGTGGAATAGAGGCCCTCCAAGGAAACCTGGAGGTCAGCAGGGCAAACAGCCAGTCATTAACTGCTAAAAGTAATACTTAAAAGGGGTACGAGGCCATTGGCAAGAGGTTAAAGAAATAGTAATAGGGATGGTTTATTCATTTAACAATCAAGTGTCTGCTGAGTCCCATTCTGGGCTGGAGGTGACAGGAGGAGAGCATGATACTGGGGACTAGCAGGGACACAAGTGTCAGAGGAAAGGTTTGTCAAAAGGAAAGATTCTGGAATGTGATGGAAGTCTTCAGAGAAGAAGGGAGGTTAAAGATGCTGGTGAGGAAGAGAATGATCCAGACAGAAGTTCGTTTGAATGTAACTTTAAAATAACCAAATTAAGGCCAGCAGGTGATGTGGAGGTTAAGGTGCTGCATCCCATATGGCCAACTGTGCATTTTGAGTCCTGGACTTGAAAGCTTGACTATCACAGCAGGTGTGTCTGCATGCACACCCAAAATCCCAGAATAAGAGTGAAAGATAAGGGATTGCAGCGTGGCCAGCTCTCCTGGGGGTGCTTGCTCACTTTCCCTCTCATTCTCTGTCTCTTTGGTGAGCTCATGTGCCCTATAGCAAAAACCAGGAAAAAAAAAAGGCCAAATTAGTCGGTAGGCTACACAGAAGGCAGCTTTTCTCTGAGGTGTGGGGAAGTCCCCAGTTGAAGGGGTTTCAGTTCCTCTTCCCATGGGGGGAAACTCTTAAAGCTAGATCTCACAGCAGAGTAGTCCCAGATATACTTTACTCTTCAGCCGCTAGGAGGCAACCTTCCACCACAAATCAAACAAACCAGCTTCCAGGAAGGGCTCAGCAAAGTATGTCCTGTTAAACATCTGTTACATCTGATTTTCTGTTAAAAGCATGCAAAGTACCTTGTTTTCTTTTCATTACATAAATTACCACACCACTCCTGTATTGCCTTCTGCTCTCAGTATCAATGGCTGCAGTTATGTACTGAACAGAGCAATCAGCTAGGTACTGCCCCAGCTTCCTAGAGTACTGCTTCAGGGCTTTGAAATGCATTTACGTGCATGGACTTGGTAGGGAGGGTGAAGATTATACCGTCATTGCCTCATTTCACACAGCTAAGAGAAGAGAACTTTGCCTACATCACCACGTGTGTAGTGGAAGAGTTGGACTCCTGGGGCAATGCGCTTTCAAAAATGTCATGCAAAAAAAAAAAAGCCTCCCACAATTGTTTCTGTTTTTTCAAATTTATTGATTTCTTCCATGAGAGAGAAAGCAAAAGTGACTTAACAGCCCCCAACAGGGTATTTTAATTTTTTTAAAGAATTATTTATTTAATTATATTTATTCATTCATTTATTTTAATTTAGCGAGAGAGAGAAAGCGGGAATGCAAGCCCCTAGGTCTGGGACTTGAACTGTGGTTGGCCATGTGGGAATGTCCAGTGCCTTAACCACGATGCTACCTGCTGGTCTCGAGGGTCTTTTTAAAAATTTTTTTTAATTGCCAGAGGACACATGTAATTGCTAAAGAAAGAGAGAGAGAGAGAGAGAGAGAGAGAGATTGAGAGAGAGAGAGAAAGAGGGAGAGAGAATGCAGCTCCTAATGGGGTATGGTCATGTCCCAATCCCTTCTCTTCTATTCCTCCATCCTGTTGAAATTTTGGGCATGCATGTGTCCAGTGACTTTTTCAAGCCCCTGGGGCTGGAATTTGAACCACATGGTCAGTCATGTAGGATCTCTCTATCTTAACCATTAGGCCATGGGCTGGCCCTCCAACAGAGTCTCAACCCCCAGCCTCCGCCCACCCTGGATCATGGCCACACACATGCCCAGCATACTCAGGGAGGTCTCTGGACTAAAACCTGGAACCTTCCAAGGAGGGTCAGCCTCATAGACACTTTACCACTTTGTCACTGTCTAGACCCCCTATTTTTATAAGACATCTTTATTGTCCAGGGATGATATGGGGTAGTGGATATCCTGGTGCAGGTAGTATAATATGGGCTGGTCAGGTTCTCCCCTGCGTGACCCTGGATGAGAACAGTGGTGGGTGTGAACGTCTATGGGCAGAGCAAAGAGTGAGAGCTATGAGAGTCTGACATGCTTCAATGAAATCTTCGTGGATGAAAACAGGATCAAAGAAAACAACTGCCATTGTAGAACTGACCTGCAACCAGCGTGTTTGTATACTCACACTTGGGACCTATTAGCAGCAGACAGTGAGGTGGGGAAAAGAAACCGAGCCACTATTTGATTGTTAGAGGGCATGTCCACTTGCTAGACTGAGACCAAGACACTGAGAGAGAGAGGTTGAAAGCACCTCGCAATGGGACGTGGTCACAGTGCAATTCCTTCTCCTCCATTTCTGCTTCTAGTCAGGATTTGGGGCAAACATGCATACACACACACACCTGGTGTGCTTTTCAAGCTGTGAGGCCAGGACTCACAGAGGATTCCACTGTGATTGGACAGTGGGATCTTGCTTACTAGATTGCTAGGCTACGGAGCTGGCCTTAAGCCATTGTTTGAAATCAGAGGGGACAAACTTGTAGTACACAGTCTGAATTTGGCACATAAGCAAAAGGCAGATGCTGACTTACTTTTTTGACTTGAATAGTATTTTAAAGTGCTTTTAAATGAGTTTCCAGTATTAAAAAAATCAGGAGATGACATGTGCACACACATGTGCACATACTTTTGTATACAAATGTAGGCTTCTTTTTTTTGGTCTCTTTCAAAGCAAGTCTGGGACCAGCCTCTGGTGTGGTGGTTAAGACAGCTGGATCTCACATGGCTGGCTGTGTGGTTCGATTCTCAGACCTGATGACTTGAGAGACATACCAGGTGCATGTTCGTGTATCCAAAATCTCGACAGGAGGGAGAGATGAGGAGAAGAGATTGAGGTATGAGCACCCCATATGGGGTTGCTTTCTTACTTTCTCTCTGTCTCTCCAGTGAACACAAAGTTAAAAACAAACAAAAAACAACATGGGATATTATTTTCCCATTTGGTAAACATGAAATTGAGTTGATGAGGTGTGGGCTCTCCATCCTCCCTCTCTTTTCACAAGCATCATTTCATGTGTTTGTATTAATTTTCTGGTCTCCAGAGGCAACTGAGTTGGGGACCTCTGATCAAAGCCATCCTCATTCTTGGTTTCCATCCTCTCATCCTGCACCCAGAAAGACACGCAATTAGGGAGTGGCTGTCTCCCCACTAGCGCTTGCAGCTGTATTCTTCTGCACTAACACTTTCTGGAGAGGTTTTTTGTTTTGTTTTGTTTTTTGTTGTAGTTGCTATAGGGCATGTGTGCTCGCCAGACAGACAGACAGAGACAGAGAGACAGAAAGCAAGAAATCACCCCCCCAGGGGGGATGGCCACACCGCAATCCCTTTTCCTCCATTCTCCTCTCGGGATCTTGGGCATGCACACACACGCGCCCGGTGTGAGTTTTAAGCCACCAGGTCCAGGACACGAACCACAGTCAACTACATGGGAGTCCAGCGACATAGCTATTATGCTAACTGCTAGTCCCTGCACTAACACTTTCTATAGTAACTGAAAACACATGACCTAGTGAGGATGGTCAATTTCACGTAGAGGCATATGCTTATTTGCTGAAGTAACCGCATGATTGCTGACCTGATGCTTGTTAAGCTGCCCTTCATCTTTGGGATTCCCAGCAGTGGAGACCAAGACATCCACACTTGCTTACCTGTCTTAGCCATTTTGTATTCCTTATTCTGTTTAGACAATTTTTATTGTTTTTTCTATAAGGAGGTTACACTCTCTACAAGGTCTCCATGCCACAATCCACCCCCTAACCTCAGCTCTGGATGAAGGGGACACACACAAACCTCTGGAGTACTCAGGGAGATTTTAGACACGAACCCAGGACTTTCTCATGTGGGTCCAGTTGTGTTATCACTGCACCACCACTTAACCTTTTATTTGGCCTTTTGAAATTATGTAGGCTAAGTCTTTTTTTTTTTTTTTTTAAGATTATTTCCATAGAGTGTATGTGCTCACTGGAGAGAGACAGGGAGAGACACTGAGAGGGCAAGTGAGAAATCACCACATGGAAGGTTGGTCACATCGCAATCCCTTCTCTTTCGGTCTCTTTTCAGGGTTTTGGGCATACATTCACATGCACCCAATGATGATTTTCAAGCTGCCAGGTCTGGGACTCCAACTGTGGTTGACCATTTGGGAGTCCAGCTCCTTAGCCACTATTCTACCTGCTGGCCCCATAGATTAAGCCTTAAATAAGAAAGTGTGAAAGTCAGAACTTTGGGAATAAGGGCATTCTTACTGGGCAGTGTTCTGGCACCTTCTTGTATGGCCTGATTACTATTGGGTTGTTGGAAAAGTCAAGATATATTTTTTGGAAAAGTCAAGATATATTTTTTTCTATGTTTTTCTTTCTCTTTTCATTTTTTAAAAGATTTTTTTCTATAGGTAGCATGTGCTCACTAGAGAGACAGAAAACAAGAAATCACATGCATGGGATGGTCATGACACAATCTCTTTTCCTCCATTCTCCTCTCAGGATTTTGGGCATACACATGCACCCGGCATGAGTTTCAAGCCACCAGGTCTGGGACTCGAACTGTGGTTGACCATGTAGGAGCCCAGTGCCTTAAGTACTACACTACCTGCTGGCCTTTACCTGTTTTTGTTTTGTTTTGTTTTATTTTTAATGCAAAGATATATCATGATTTTCCCGACAACTCAATTTATTACCTCAAGGCCTGATATAATGCTGGCCAGACAGCTTTGTCCTCTCATCTGACCGTCTCATTATTTCAGTGTGTGCACTTCTGTGAGTCATTACTTTAGTGCGTGCACTTATGTGAGTCATTTTTACTAAATACTGTTTTTTATTATTGTTATTAGGATTATGTATATCATGTAGTGAGTGCGATCTGTGAATGGACCGTGGCCTTTGGTTTTATTTTCTACTTCCTAACATTCATCCAAGATTTCCAGGTTGGTATTTATCAAGTCACATGATACAAATTGCTGATAATTAGGATTGGTAAAAATCCACAGAAAATGTCTTGCATTTTTAAAAAGAGCACTTTCTTCTTTCTTACCCTTAATGTGTTTGGAAAAACATGTAAGTATTGTGCAACATAGTTTATTAACTTATTCCCAAAGGGAAGCATCTTTAACAGCTCTTCCAAATGATGAAGTTTTCATATGTCCTCTGCCATTTGATGTGCATGGTCATGGTTCCTGGTTGTTTTCTTTTTGAGGAGGTCTTACTTACTAGTTCCAAATAATTTTAAAAAATATATCCTTTTTAAAAAATAAAAGTGTGTCAATGAAAAATGTTCCCAAGACAGTGAGAAAGTGGGACTTTATCAGATTTGGCCATAGGGAAAATCTTACATTTTGAAATAAGTGAATTATTAGCTAAAAGAAAGCCAAGAGAATTCTTCAGGTCCTAGGTCAAGCGTAGCAGAAACCGTAGTGAGGTCATCTTCTAACTGGTGCAAAGCTGTTGGAAATTTCATAGTTGGCACTGGAGTTCTTCACCTTTTCTAAAACCTTTCCCTCCTCCTCCTCCTTTTTTTTTTTTTTTTTTTTTAATAGAGTGTAACCTTAAGGATATCCACAGAACTCAATGGTGACATTTGAAGAAGGAAGAATTAGATTTCATTCAGTGAATGTCGTAGACAAGTTCTAAAAGTGGTACAGAGGATACACAGGGTTTTGGTGCCACCCTGACTGAAATGTATCTGTGGCACACCCAGGACCTGAATTTCATTCAGAATTCCCAGTAGCTGTACTATTTCCAAAGGTATGTTTTCCTAGAGAATGTAGAGCATTTATGATACTGTAGACGTTTTTATAATTTTTCAAAGTAGACACTTTTTTATATTAACATGTTTATCTAAAAAAAGAGATAAGATGTTCCAGCAAATGGGGAGCTCTTATTTTTGTATAGCATCTGTTGTATTTTTTCCCTTTGTGTACGAGTGATTTATGGAAATATGCTAAATGAACAATTTAAGTTTTGTACATTTATTAAGTGAAATGGGGGTATTCATTTTAAAATTTTATATTTTGAGAATGAATTGTATAATGTTTTAATGCGAGAGCATTTATAAAATTCAATTTATAAGGACCATCTATCCATATCACAACATTTAGATAATTAACACTAAGAAACTCTGATTTTTAGCTAAACTAAGCAACATGCAGTCTACTAAGAGGCCTTAGCACCAGACACACTAACTCTAAGTGAATGAGGAAGATCTTGATTTAGCAGCAGACACACTAACTCTAAGTGAATGGGGAAGATCTTAAATTGAAATTCTGCCTCCTTCCTCTCCTTGCTCACAGGGCAGCAGCTTTCACCCTCACTGCTAACTGGCAGTCCACAGTGGGTATAATTTCAGGTAGAGTGGATTCAGAAAGGCAGGTTAGAAATGAAAAAACCATCCTTTATTTTTCCTGGATAACTTGATATCTAATCTGACTCAGAAGCTGAAACTCCTGTGTTGATTTATTTTATGACAGTAAACATGTCAAAGAGAACGTAGTCCAAAAAGGAAATAAGAAGGAAGGAGAGAGGCAGCTACAACTTCTGGGTGCAGACTATTGCTTGTTGATTCCCTCCTCCCTTTAACACCTATGGCCAGGTGTCCTCTAACCCTATGGGAAACATGAGTCAGGTATTTTGAAATATACTGGATTTAATGGCCATCTTTCACTCAAGTCACAAATGACAAATGAAAAGCAAGTCATTCCAGAGGAAGAAGTAACTTCTGAAATGTTAAGGCTTAGACTTAAAAGTTGAGGCCAAGGAGCTCTCCCTTTCAGACTCCCAAGATCACACACTCTTATCTGGCCAAGTGAGACCAGCCCTTGTGGGCACATGCCAAGGGCAGAGCAGCCCAGTGGACAGCCTTGGAGGGCCTCTGGGGAGTGGTGAACATGAGGTCGCTCCTCACTATTTCTTGAGTAAGTGAAAGGTGAGACCAGGAGGAAGCTATTTTATTTGCAATGACAAATCACATGTCCCCTTAGCAGTGGGGAGCTGAAAGCCATTTCTGGAGCCACCGTAACTCATAACACCATGGGCCCCATTGTAACACTGGAACTGAAAGACAGTGACCACAACTCTGTCAAGCATTTGTTATTCTGAGGAAG